CTGCTGCTTCTCAGTCTGCTTTCTTTCAGCTACATACAACTTGTCATTAAAAATGAAAGCCAAACTATGTCCTCTTGTTGCTATCTTGGCAGTGCCCAGCTGAGCCATCAGACAGATTCCATGTTAAACTACAAAGTAGAGTTTGTCACGAGTTATTCCTGTGAATAATAAAAGGTCATCCAGAAAAATAAAATCCTCAAAGAAGGACAGGGAGAGGGAGAGAAAAAAAGAGACACAGTCTAGGAAAAAAGACCTTTCAGCAAGAGTGCTGACATGTTTATTGAACCACTAAATGGCTTGGTGGTTTCATGGAGTTCAGAATGGGAGAGGTCACATATCAGCATGAAGACAAAGGCATAATTTAAGTGGTGAAGAAAACCACTCATTTATCTGTTTTTTGCACTTACTTTTCTTTAATAGATGCTATTTTTAGGCATTGCATCCTTGCTATATTTTGAAACAATAGTAAGGAAAATTTCTTACCCTTTAACCATGCTTTGAGGGCTCACCACTAAGGGTTAAGCAAATATTTTAGTCTCAGTTTCCACAGAATCTTCAGTCTTAGAAAAATTATTACGGAGAGTGCTGTAGGTGCCACTTCTCTTGTGATGCGAGTGTCTCTCTGATAGCAATTGTCTTAAGAGCGCTAGCTCATTTAATCTGTTTTTCTGCATCTGATAGCGGTGTTATTCACTGGGGTGGATGCACAGTTACAGAGCTAACGGCACAATTCTCTTCTGCTGATTTGCTTTTCTCTTCCAAATGATTTATTTTTTTTCAGCTTTCACACTGTGATGTGTTTTGGACTTAAATACAAATAAGGCAAAAATCTCCCTACTAGGGTTAGTAGGAGGGAAGTCACACCTACTTATGCCCCATTAAAAAGGAGTCTTGGCTCATGTCATTCCTCAGAGGGTGCTGGTTGGATTGTGACCATGCCAGAAGCACTGTGCTGCATCTGTACTAAGAATAGGTGTCGAAGGCTCAGTCTCCAAAATTCAGATGCATGTTTTAGTTGTGGATGTAGTCTGGCACCATTTTGGGAAACACCTAAACAGACTTGCATTGGTGATTGCAGGTGGAGTAGAATCATAGAATCATTAAGGTTGGAAAAGACCTCTAAGATCATCGAGTCCAACCATCGACCCAACACCACCATGCCCACTAAACCATGTCCCTAAGCACCTCATCTACCCGTCTTTTAAACACTTCCAGGGATGGTGACTCAACCACTTCCCTGGGCAGCCTGGTCCAATGTTTAACCACTCTTTCAGGAAAGAATTTTTTCCTCACATCCAATCTAAACCTCCCCTGGCGCAACTTGAGGCCATTTCCTCTCGTCCTATCGCCAGTTACTTGGGAGAAGAGACCGACACCCACCTCGCTACAACCTCCTTTCAGG